TCGACATAAAAATATAGCATATTTGCAAAACAGGATTGTGTAAATCTGTAAAATATTCTACTGAAAAGCCTAGGCCTGAACAGTTTTAAGGTTTTATACATTTCCTTAGCACTATTATTCTCTAAAGTCTTTGGATGATGTTTATTTTTTTTAAATGCAAAATCACATATAACCATGATAACTGGAGATCGGTTAACCATGTGTCATTTTCTTCGTCTGTTTTTACTTGGTTAAAATCTCATTAAAAACTTGTTCATGCCAGTGATGGTATCTAGGTGTTTATGTTATTTTTTCTTTTCTGCCTTCTCTATACTGACAAATTATCTTTACCTTACATATTTAAACTGCTTTTATTGCCGATTTTTCTCCATTCTTCACATAGTTTTTTTGCTATAAATAGCGCCACGCGACTTTTAATACAGACGGGAGATAACTCTTAAATTTTGACCCAGATTCTTGATGAATAAAAATAAATGAAAATAATACGTCTGACACTCAAAAAGCAAAATAAAAAACAACGGGGCGGGGCACTTTGAGAGGGGCGGGCGGGGATGAGAATCTAAAGATTAATTTTACCTGGCCTAAAAGAAAATTGTTTTTAAAGAATAATTAACAAGAAGGTATTGAGCTATGTTAATTTGTTATTTAAACATGTTAAAATGCAAATCTACATCTTCAGTATAGATTCTTAATCACATATTTTGCACGTAGCTTTAGATATTGGATGACACCATATAGCTATTCATAGAATGGCATGTTATCTTACGGATCATTGTTTACTTGCATTTCACATTACTGATATTAAAGAGTCAAGATATATCCTGAACGCAAATATCGTCATTTACAAAAAACAATTGCTCATTGGTCAAACAATGTCGATCAACTCCAATCACAACTTGAGAAAAAAATCCCAACTTTTTTTTAACACCGTATGCCAAGGGCTTATGAGGAGAGTAGCGTATCAGAAACCCTTGGCAAGCGAAGATGGCCATACAGGGGCATCAGTGTTTCACAAACACATCTTGTTGATATATATTCTGTATATTTATCAATTTTATCAATCACAATACGAATATCGGTATTATCACAGCTATTTAGTCCTGACTTGGTTAAATAAATCATACTTCAGTCAACATGATCAAAGAATTATCAAATGCCAGGATGTCTGCCTTTTAGAACAAGATCTCAAATGATAATCATTTACTAGTAAAAACCAATCTAAACACCCAATGATAACCTAGTAATAGAAAGTAGATTATTAAGATGATTCAATAATTAGACTAGGTCACCAATAACTTGTTCACAATCATGCCAGACAGAATGCTGTAAAACGTCAGATTATCCTGGAGTAAATGATACAAAGCTGAAAGAAGTCAACAACTCATTGGCAGTTGACTCTTCAGAAGAGCTGAAAGCATGCTGTAGATGTCAACAACGTATCAGTAAACTTTCCAATATAGCAAAAAGCTGTAAATATCAACAACTCATCAATAAACTGTACAGTATAGCAGGAAATGTGTTCATGATGCTGTAATTTGTCAACAACTCAGAATGAAATGTCCTTTAAAGCAGGAAGCATGCTCTAAAATATCAACAACTCATCAGCTATCTGTTCAGTACAGTGTTTAGTATAGCAGGAAGCCTGCTGTAACATATCAACAACTCATCAGCTATCTGTTCAGTACAGCAGGAAGCAAGCTGGTTTATGTCAACAAGTCCTTTATTAATTTTCAAATATGCAAAAAGCATGCTGTACTTTGACAACAACTCACCAGGAATTTTACTGTCCAATCTAGCAGAAAACATGCTGTGAAAGAACATCACAGTACTGTATATACTCGCATATAAGTCGGTCCGCCTATAAGTCAGTTGTATTTTTTAAGCTTATATTCGAAGGCTTGACCCTCTAAAATTCAATCTTTTTATGACTCGCCTATAAGTCAGACAAAGAGTTATGGACCAAAGTTTAAAGCTGACATGAACTCTTAAATATGTGATATTTTCATCCTTGTATGACTTATTTTATTCCCGTACTCCCTTTTCCGCCATATTTCTTTCAGATTCACTCACTTATTTTACCGGCTATATAAACCCCGATGCCTTTGTTACACTTGAGTGATTTTCTTGCCTGGCTGTCGACATGTACTTATCTCCGATAGCAAAGTTTTGGAACACACCATAAACTGATCGAAAACATGTAGGCCTGTACACATCTCCGATAAAGCAGTTTTGGAACATGCCACAAATGTAATAATTCTACCAAAACTAGGAATTTTATTGAAAAACTAGAAAGAAGTACATAAATTTTGAATAATTTAGATGCAATGCATAAAAAGCAAATCGGCAAATGCATGTTTGATACACATATATACTTGAACAATAAAGAAGAAAAGGCTACCATATGCATTTTTCCCAAATAACACTGTACTGTTGAGTTTTATGCATGCTACACGGTATAAGCACATACTATGCAACTTAAGCATTCTAGTTATTACATGCATGCATGCAGAGAAAACGGGTCGAATGCTTTAAACTCATCTACCTGAAATACTGCTATCGCTTCAGGGATGTGCACATGTCGAAAGAATTACTTCCTATTTTCCTTTTATTGAAATATGCATCACGAAAGAAATAACTCCATTTGTAACTCAACGGTAAACACATTGTCACTAGCACTTGAACACACGTGGTCCCTGCCGATCAGCATTTTTGGTCAGGGAAAATATCGAAGGTGGAAATGACACTGGTATTTGCCTGATTAGACAATATAGTCACGCAGATAAAACGTTTCAGAAATCGAACTTACTATTGTCTTACATGTAGTAAATATGTTTATGAATTGTGCTTCATTACATCAAATTTATTACATATACACATACACATGTATGCGGGTGGTGTTAGGGGTAGTAAAATGATTGACAAGCAAAAGAAAAACTTTAAGCACTTGAAAATTGGGGGAAGTGAAGAAGGAAAACAGGCATTAAAAAAATCCGTAATCAGGGGAAGGACAGATTTCATTCAATTACATGTATACTATCATTTTCGGCAGAAAAATATTTTAGTACAATGTACAATAGTGTTGGATGTGAGTGGGAAAGGGGGGGGGGAGGGCAACCAGTCTTAAAATAAAAAAAAATCCTCAAAAAATCAACCATAAAAAGACAGGCCTGTAGAACGCGTTGGGGGGGGGGATGCCCCCTCCCAGTTTTTTCCGAGCATAATGTTTTACTGTTTAGTATGAAATGCACACTAAAAGGCTGATCCCCTCCACTTCTTGTTGCACTATACTCAAATCGTCAAAAAAGTTGCCCCCCACAAAATAGGATTTCGGTAATTTTTTTATTATTATTTTAATTTTTTTTATTTATTTTTTTATTATTACTATTATAATTTTTGTTATTAATTTTTTTCTTGTCAAAGATTTTTCAGGAAAAGTGTCAATGATTTCTTAGATTTTTAAGGTAAAGTGTCAATGATTTCTTAGTTGCTACGTGTCTGAAAGACACTCTCAGAAAAGGGGATACCCCACCCCCACCCCTGCTCCATGTGTGTGTATATTTGTTAATTTGTGTTCTGGTTAAATACTTTCAAGTCGTGCTCTAAATCATTTTCTTACATCAAATTACTCAGTTTAGTTTTAGATAATCAGCAATCAGACTTTTTTATTTTAGTGATTTCTTATTTTTTACCTAAGCGCGCAAATACTAATTCCCTTTTTCACTTTTGATATTTTCCCTGACCAAAATCTGATCAGCACGGACTAAGTGTATTTGAATGCTAGGATGTACGATTAAGTGACATCGTGTTTACTGTTGAGAATTTATGGAGTTTATTACTTTTTTGTGATGCATATTTCAATAAATGGAGTACAAGGTGTAAATCACTTGATATGTGCACATCTTCGAACGGGTACAGTGGTCTATTTCCAGGTATGAATAAGTTTACAGCGTTCGACATGTTTTCTCGATATGCATCAATTGTATTTGTGTTGAATGCATACGGACTTGCATAGCAAATACGTTGGTTGTTTGTTCCATTCTTACGATAAATTATTGCAAATTGTTTGTACGATTTTACTGTGTATCATTTCAAGTTTATTTTGCATATATTTTTAAAAAATACACGCGCAACTTTGTTTTTTTCTTCCAAACTTGCATTTATATTATTCAAAACGATATAATTATTCATAAATATCTTTATGACTGTTTTTATCTGTCATGATTTTAAAATGTTTTCAACAATTCATGTGTTCCCAAATACTTTACTATCGGAGATGTGCACGCGTCGATAGCCAAACCAAAAATTCACTCAAGTGTAACGGGGGCACTGGGGTATATATCGTTACAATAAGACAAGGTATCTGAAAGAAATATGGCGGAATACGGCTAGTTGGTATGAAACAAGTCGTTCATTGATACAAATGTTGCGTTTTGAAGAATTCATGTCAGCTTTAACTCCCAAAAAAAACGACTTATAGGCGAGTATATACGGTAAGCTTTCCAATAAAGCATATAGCATGCTGTAAAGTGATTAATCATAAACTGTTCAGTATACAACATACATCATTAAAGCTAAACACGACTCGTAAATAGGCATACGCCATTTTCAATATTACTATCTATGATGTCAGCACCAGGATATACTCTTCACATTTGTTACACCTGACTGCTTTATTGTCACGGGTCTCTGACTGGGATGGCAACCCGTGTTCGTGCTGGTTATCTTGCATCACCTTTGTTTACATTTTATTGCAATAATGTGTATTTGTGTTTGTTTGTATACTGCACTGACCTGTGCAAGTGTTGTAAGTTTCATTGGTATCGCTACCGAGTGCTGTATATGCATACGTCCATCTACGAAGGTGACGATTGATTACACTGATCAGTGACTAAGTGAGCCGCTTTATATAGGGGCCCTCAGATATAGTGAGAGACCAATCGAATATGGCGGACACATTCCTTTTACGAATCGTGTTCAGCTTTAATGTATCAAGAACTCACCAGTAAATTGTCCAATATAGCAGAATGTATACTGAAACATATCAATAGCAGATGGACTGATACATTTATACCGTCTCCAGTGGGCTCTGTCTTCATCTGAGGTGACATCCTTATTCCACTCGTCCATGCACGAATCATGAATTTCAAATGCCAATCCAATTAACTTGAAATATAAAAATTTATTATAAAATGGTAATGTTAATAATACACACAGAATGCATTTAATTTATTGGATGCTATTTTTATATCACTTCCTTTATCATCCAGAATTCACTTATATTAGGCTTAGAGTCACCAGACTAATATATATTAAGTGATAAAGAAATGATGTGAGATGCAGTTTAAACTAGAGATATGTCCATAGGACATGAAAACCCTTCTTATTACATTTCTTGTGCAACACAAAAAGAGATATATCTTGTTTTTTAAATCTGCATTATTAAGGTCTTCTGTCTTCACAGAAGACCTTATAGTGATTCTACTGTTTCTTATTATTAGGTCTTCCGTTTTCAACGGAAGACCTATAGTGATTCTACTGTTTCTTCTTCTTATTATTAGGTCTTTCCACCTTTCTGTGGAAAGACCTATTGATATTCTTCTGTTTATTATTATTATTATTAGGTCTTTCCACCTTTCTGTGGAAAGACCTATTGATATTCTTCTGTTTATTATTATTATTATTATTATTATTATTATTTTTCCACCCCCAGATGTGATTCTATGTTTCAAGATATATCGAAAAGATTTATAGTCTATAAGAATGTACTCTTTAAAAGATTTTTGTAGTTGACCCTGCGTGTATGAACTTTGACCTCTTAAGGAGTTACAACCCCTTTCGCAATAAAACCTTGTTATCGCTACTCCTTCGAAACTGTAAACCATAGAGGTATGGAACCTTCACCAATGTCTTCGACTAATTGAGGGGACTCTTCAATCTTTTCATTGCGAAAGTATTCGTGCACCCCTTTTATGAGTTATTGCCCCTGAAAGTCTTTGATATTTATGAATAATGAAAAATTTTCAAAACGATAAGTCGTAGAGACATGGGACCAACTGCATAAGATTCAATGACCTTTGACCTAAAAATATATGTAAAGGTCAAAGGTCAAGGTCATTCCAAAAATGAGAAATTAAGCTCTTTTTACAGCTCTTTTGTCTTTCAATATATACTATTGGTCTTTGCATCATTAATATGTACTCTTAAATCTATCTCAAAGATTTCATTCTTGTCCCCTAAGCTTAACCCCTTTGAAAGTTATTGCCCCTTGTGCGAAAAACCTTGTTATCGCTACTTCTCCTAAACCGTAAATCGCAGAGACATGAAACCATCACTAATGTCTTCTGGGTCTTTAGTCACAACTTCAGTCTATTAGTGCAAAAGGATCTGCTGACCCCTTATGAGTAATTGCCCTTTAACGTCTTTGCGCTTACTATTAAACCTTATTACTTTAAAACTAAAAGTCGTAGAAGGATGGGGTTAAGTGCAATGTGACCCTTGACCTTTGACCTTGAATATTTGTTCAAGGTCAAAGGTCAAGGTCATTTCCAAATTTCTAAAATTTTAATAATTTCCATCTCTCAAGCCATCTCTGGTTTCTCCTGTATAAAAATAAACAGTAGAGAGTTAAATGTGAAGAATATATGAAATTTAAAGAAGGTGGAAAGACCTCTAATTGTTCGAGAACAATTAGTCTCCTAGTTATTATTATTATTATTATTATTTTTCCACCCCCTGATGTGATTCTATGTTTCAAGATCTATCGAAAAGATTTATAGTCTATAAGAATGTACTCTTTAAAAGATTTTTACAGTTGACCCTGCGTACGTGAACTTTGACCCCTCCAAGAGTTATAACCCCTTTGGCAATAAAAGCTTGTTATCGCTACTCCTTCGAAACCGTAAACTGTAGAGGTTCGGAACCTTCACCAATGTCTTCGACTAATTGAGGGGACTTTTCATCTTTTCATTGCGAAAGTATTCGTCGACCCCTTTTATGAGTTATTGCCCCTGAAAGTTTTTGAAGTTTAGAAAAAATAATTTTTTTTCAAAACGATAAGTCGTAGAGACATGAAACCAACTGGATAAGATTCTTTGACCTCAGACCTTGAAATTTATGTCAAGGTCAAAGGTCAAGGTCCTTCAAAATATGAGAAATTAAGCTCTTTTTATATCTCTTTTGTCTTTCAATGGATACTAAGTATCTTTGCATCATTAACATGTCCTCTTAAAACCATTTCAAAGATTTCATACTTGTCCCCTAAGATTTACCCCTTTAAAAGTTATTGCCCCTTTTACTGAAAACCTTGTTATTGCTACTCCTCCGAAACCGTAAACCGTAGAGACACAAAACCTTCACTAATGTCTTCAGGGTCTTTAGACACAACTTCAATCTATTCAGTGCAAAAGTATCTGATGACCCCTTATATGAGTTATCGCCCTTTAACGACTTTGCGCTTACTATTAAACCTTATAACTTTAAAACTAAAAGTCATAGAAGGATGAGGTCAAGTGCAATGTGACCCTTGACCTTTGACCTTGAATATTTGTTCAAGGTCAAAGGTCAAGGTCATTTCAAAATTTTTAAAATTTCATTTTTTCTATCTTATAAGCCAGTTAAGGATTCTTTTTGTATAAAAATTAACTTAGTAAAATGTGAAAAAATTCAAGAAATTTAAAGAAGGTGGAAAGACCTCTAATTGTTCGAGAACAATTAGTCTACTAGTTATTTTTATTATTTTTTTGACTTTCTAATTTTGTGCACGCGATTTCTCGAAGACTATTGGATGGATTTACATGAAATTTTCAGGAAAGATGTGTTGTAACATGAACTTGATTTATCTGAGAGAAAATTTGGAAATTCACTTTCGGTGCCAAGTTACGGACCATTTTCTGAATTTAAAATGACATTTTGTACAAGGATAATCTCAAGAACGGTAAAAGATATCAATGTGAAACTTTCTGGGATTATAGGTCGTGATAAATACTAGCCGGGACGTGACCTTTCGTTCGTCGTCAGTATCTCCGGTCGTTACCGGATGCAAATTTAAAAAATTGAATTTTTAAACTTTTTTAATTTTCAATATTTTTCTTTGATAGTAGTAGTGTTAATAGAGGCACTTCTGAAAATGCTTAATATATAATTTGTTTTCAAATAAATATATTCAAACTCTAGATATTCGCATTTTAAAATCTGAAGCGGCTCCAAAATGGCGGCTGTCACCGTACACTCCTACGAGCAGGTCAGCACTCGGAGCTCCTCGGGTGGCTCGTACCTCGCACACTAACCTCGGACGTTAACGGTGTTCTACCATGTACCTTAGACAGTCATGTGATCTTCTTTGAAATTCCTCCAAATGTATACCTTTGAAATCTGAGCTACTTTGTGGCACGCCCAACACTATGTTTTTGCTTTCAAAGACTACTTACATGATGTTGTAATCAAAACAAATATAAAAGGAAGAATTAGACAAGAGAAAAAAAAAACTTTTTGAAGAACATTATGCAGAGCAAAATATGAAATGAGTTACAAGGCAGTTTTCGGCGGAGAAATGTAATTGATTTGATACATATTCCTCCACCAATCACATCGGAGGTTTGTATGGAGGTAGCGGAGTCAGCTGAGGATTGCCGATTGGCAGGTCGGAGTTTACGGAAACAGCCGAGCGTCCTGTTGAAGGAAACTACAATAAGGATCAATGTTAACACAACATTGCTCGGCAATAGTAAATGACTGAAGTCTAAAAGTTTCAGGACTGATAGTCAGTCATCAGTTTATTTGAATCGTGAGAAAATCTTGCTGGATTTTCAAGCTGACGACCAGGGTTAAATCTCAAGGTTGTCTGAATTTCTTTTATCACTTTTTCAGCTTGAATTTTCGTTTTTATTTTCAGAATCGGACAGAAGACCTCTCATTGCTCGCAATGAGTTTCTAGTTATTATTGTTATTCTTATTTTTCCTCCCATATTTTGTGCACAAGTTTTCTCAAAAACTATTCAGTGGTTTTCAGTGATTTTTTCAGGGATAATGGACATTATTATGAACTTTGTGCATCAGAAGAGAAAATTTAAAAATTCCCTGTTGGTTCCATGTATTGGCCAATTTTCTGATTTTGAATTGGATTTTTGTCTTCATAACTCCTCTAGAACGGCTAAAGATATGAATTCAGGAGACATGTCAAAGATGATAGAGCATGACTTGTAGATGTTCTGACCAATTTTTTGTGTGTCGTCGATGCTTCCGGTCACAACCGGAAGCAAATTTTAAAAATGGATTTTTTCAACTTTTTGTTTTTCAATATTTTTCTTTGATATTTTTAGGATTAATAGAGGCAGTTCTGAAAATGCTTGATATATAATTTGTTTTAAAATTGATAAATTCAAACTCTAGATATTTGCATTTTAAAATTTGAAGCGGGGTCCAAATGGCAGCCGTCTCCGTAAACTCTGATGAGCTGGTCGGAGTTTACGGAGACAGTCGAGCATCTTGTTGAACGAAAATACCATAAGGATCAATGAAATGTACAGGAATTATTGGATCTGGCAGATTTTGGAAATGGATAATTTGTCTTTGAAAACATAAATACTCTGACCTCCAAATGCAATAAAATTAGTAATATGTATGGTACATACAATAATACAGTCAAACCTGTATTAAGCAGTCACCTGCAGGAATCATTAAAAGTGACCTTTATAGAGAGGTGACATTTGAATAGAGGTCCATCTTTTTCGAGAAAAATTCTTTTCCAATTTATGTAAGTTCTGTGTTTTACAATACTACATCATAGAATATTAAAGAAAGATGTTTATAAGACATCAATGGTCTCACTAGGATTTTTTTTTTTTTTTTAATAAATTTTAAATAGTATGTCTCAAGATTAAGTTCAAGCTAAATTTGATGACTCCAACAAAAATACATTGAGTCTAATAGGGCATTGCATTATCCTCTGTCCAAACAACTACAAAACTTTCTATTATTATAAGAAATTATCATGTAATGTCAGGAATTAAATATGATGTATTTTTATCTAAACTGCATCTAAAAGAAATGTTTAGTTACATATTAAACTTAAAAAATTGTATGCTTAAAAACCATTGCATAATAAACAGACAAGTCAATTGTACTCTCAGTTGATCAAAGCAGTGCACAATACAAATTGATATCAA